CAGTACTTAGTATCAGTAGTAGTATAATAACAGCAGTACTCACGGTGGCAGCATGCTGCTGCTGTCTGAATGTTTTCTGTTGAAATGAGTTTCAGCTGCAGAGCAGAAGGACTTTTATACTGACTGAGGGAGGAGCTACTGCAAAAAATACTACAAACAGTTATATTTATTCTGACTAAGGGAGGAGCTGCTAGTTAAAATACTACAAACAATACTGGTAGTTAATACTACTATCCCTCAAAGTACTACAAGCACTACTGCCAACAAGTACAATTACGGAAAATACTACAAACACCAACTAAGAGCTGGAAATACTACTGCCAACAAATACTACTACTACTGCATGTACTGCTGCTTCTGTCCATCGTGTGTCCTGTGCTGCAGGCTGCAGTGGTCCCAGCATGCTCTGGGGCAGGGCTCACCTGTCCAGGTAATGATGTTCATTTTTACACATGAGCGACAGCAAATATTGATCATGTGCATCGTGTGGGGCTGCCGTCAGCCTGTTAGCTGGTTAGTTCTGCAGCTCCACAGTTAATGCCTATAAGCCAAACCAGCTGCTTCCTGTCTCACCTGTGTGACCTCACCTGTGTCCTGTCCATCTCTGAATCACGGAACTCGTCTCTGCTCTGTTCAGTGATTCTGAGGCTCGGTCCGCCTGTGCACAGGTGAGTCTTGAGGTTGTGTTTGTTATTACCTGTCAGCTGTGGTGATGGTTCTAATCAGCCTACATCACTTCCTGTTGACAGGATCAGTTCCCTTCATCCTCCTAAACTGTGCTGAGTGTTGGTCATTGCAGCCTGCAGGTCACAGCGGCTCTGTTTCCTCCTTCAGTCCACAGACGTGTCTGTGTGTCGGTGATAGCCAGTTACCTGTCCAGGTGTGCCCCGCCCCTCCCCCACTGTTAGCTGGGACCCTCAGCATGATGAAGCCGATGAGATGTTCAGACACTTGCTACAAATATTCAAACCAACCTGCAGCAACAAATACAATTAAGTCAGTTTTTATAATGGCTTTAATAAATCTAATCTGCTTATAACGATGAGTTTGCTGTGAATGTACAACAACTTCTGATTGGTCGACATGCAACACCACCTGATGGCGCATCATCAGTGTGTTTGTTTCAAACTGCCATCCATCTATTATCTACATATTGCTTCACCCTCTATCCCAGGCAGGTTCACCTGGACAGGTAACCAGTCTATCACAGGGCTACACTTAGAGACAGACAACCAAGCACACTCACATTCNAAAACGGTGTTTGCACATTTCATTATGTTTTTATTTGAGAATGCGTCTGATGGAGTTGACATTGAAGTTATGTCCTTGTTTGCACAGCAGACAGAACCTTGACCCATTTTGTAGTAATGTTGTTGGGGTGGGGCCTGAAATGTTTTCCTCTTACAAAGGGGGCGACAGAAAAAGTTTGAGAACCACTGCATTAAGGTGAGAAAACACAAATGTATTTCCATCTGAGTATTTTTATTATTTTCTGTTTTTTGGTGTTGCAGTTTTCATCGGAGCCACATGAGGCAGAGTTGAACCATTCCTGTGATAGAAGCAGGTGAGTTATTGTCTCCATGAACATGAAGCCCATATATGGAGTCAGCAGGTTACGTAAGCAGGTTACATAATTATAATGATTTATAATTAGAATAGAATTCAATCATTGTCATTAGCTGGACTGTGGTTCAAAGTTTTAGAAGTTTTGTTGTTCGAATAATGATCTGTGTCTGCTGCTGGAAGAGATGACTTAACGAGCTGCGGTGACTCTGATTGGTCTGTCCATCAGTCAGCAGCCAGGTAAACCTCAAACAGGTGAAGGGTGTTTGCTCTGCTGCTTCTAAGAAATGTGTTCAGGTCAGTAAAGACCGGCTTAAGCAACAGACAGGTGAGACTGCAGGTGTGACGCTGCTGCCGGGTTGCGAACATGTTGTGAATGTGTTGTGAACACGTTATTAACACGTTGTGGGTGTAAATGCAGCCTGAACAAACAAAGAATGTGGACGAGCAGCAGATTCAGGAATCTGATCCAACATGTTCGCCCGATTTACAGTAAAACTCATTAGTGTAAGTAGCTCCGCCCACTGGCCCAGGTGAAACAACATGCTCACTGACAGGTGTGTCAGCAATACAACACCTATGGTTTCATGATTTGTCTTGTAGATGGACTCTGAGTGTAACTTCTAATTATCTTTGTGTGAATGTTTACAAACACTGAACCAGTTATTTATGATATTTGTTCATATCACAGTAAAAATAAATCTAAATAATCTCTCTTCTTATCTTTCTGGTCTCAGGTGAAATCTAGTTTTTGAATTAAGTTGCTTGTATTGTCATTGTTACGATCCAGCCTCTAGGGTCAGCTGGATGTAGCAAAGACCAGGGTCCTCATGTACAAAACTTGGCGTACGCACTTTTCCACGCTCACGTTCAGATGTATCAAGAGTGAAATGACCGTGGAAATGTGCGGTCCTCCACGCCAACTTCTTGACTGGCGTACGCACGTTTCTACTGCTTTGAGCCGTTGGCGACACCTAGAGGTGATGCTGGGAATATAAAAATGTACAAAACAATGTAAAAAAAGGTCATTGCTCAAAGTGATGTGTTCATCAGAGACACACAGATGAATGAACACATCCAGGTGTTTGCAACCAGATGAGCAGATATAACAGTTTATATAAAACGGTGCAGAAGATCCCGTTAACAACAACGGCAGCTTTGGACCTGCTGGAGGATGCTACCAATGGAGCAGAGCCAAGAGAACGGGTTTCCAGAGACCTCAGGACCACGACTGGATCATCAGCCGCTTTAGGTTCCTGAGGGCAGTCCTCCTCAAACTGTATGCGAAGCTGCGGCCAGTATTGGAGCGCAACACGTCCAGGAGCCATGTCCTACCTGTGCCCATACAGGTGCTGACCCACTGGACTTCCCAGCCACAGGGTCATTTCAGAGGGAGCTGGCCGACCGATCGGGACTGTGCCGGTCCACACTGAGCCGAGCCATGCCAGCCGTGTGGGATGGAACCATCCGAATGTCAGCCAGATACCAAATTCCCACACCACAGCTGAACAGGACGACATGAAAGTGCAATTTGCAGCGACGGCCGGTTCTGCTGATGTAATCGGAGCGACCGACTGCACACACATTGTTATAGAGGCACCATCACAAGATGCATGTGTTTATGTAAACAGGAAGTATTTTTATTAAATCAGTGTCCAGATCATCTGTGATGCACAAATACAACTAAGTAACATTGTTGTGAGGCGCATGTTCTCCCCACAGTCCAGAAACATGCTGAGGTTAATTGGTGATTGTAAATTGTCCGTAGGTGTGAATNACGGTGCTAACCACTGATCCACCTGCAGCCCCTTGTTTCAAACACATTTAAAAAATATATTTTTTAAATGAACATAGGAAAAATTAGATTTTAAAGAAAAGCAGAGCATTTACATATATGTTTCTTTGCCTTTTGCTTTATTACTTTAAACTTACTGCTCTCCTGCCAACCAATCCTATCGTTACATGGGGCGGGACTTGTCTCCATGGTAACCCAGAAGATGGAGGAAAAGCTTCAAACAAGCATCTGAAGAGTTGTATTTTTTTTCCATAATGTTTTTATTGACATTTTAACAGCATGAAATACAGTCATTTACATTTAGAGTATGTTGTCAGTTTGCTTCATTAACACATAACCAAACAAATAATAAAATAGAAATTAAAAAAAAAAAAAAAAGGTGTCCAAAAATAAATAAAAATGGCTGATTCTCAATCAGTTTATCCGTCCTTTGATTTTCAGAGTATCAAAAAATGATCAATGTTTTGTCAAGGTCCAGAATGGCACCTTCAACTATTCCCCTGTTCAACCATCAAAACTCAAACTTCAAACATATAAACAAGCACAGACTCAACAACATTGCTTCTCCTATTTTAACAAAGGGTAATCTACTTTAAGTGGGTCTTTTAGCAGTTTTTACAAAATTTCACATAATTCAGGAAAAAAAAAAGCAAACAAAAGAAAACTTGAAAAAGTTTAGGAACTGCTCCGTCTGCAGCAATCAGTCGTCTTGATCACCTGTTAATTCAAACTCTTTTTTTTTTTAAAGTTATTTTTTTGGCCTTTGTGCCTTTATTTGATAGGACAGTGGGAGAGAGACAGGAAAGTGGGGAGAAGAGTAGGGGGAGGACATGTGCGGGAAAGGGTCATGAGCGGGACTCGAACCCATGACCTCCGCATCGGGACTGTAGCCCTGTACATGGGACGCCAGCTCTACCAGGTGAGCTATAGCGGCGCCCCTAATTCAAACTCTTTGACATAATTGATGAAAGGTCTCCATATATTCTCAAATATGTGCTGTTTAGCTTTCAATATGTACGTTATCCTTTCTAATGGAAGGTTTGACAGCATCTGTCTTATCCAGTATTTGGTCTGTGAATACTTTTCCATAACTGTGCAATGCATTTTTTTGGCGTATAGCGAGCTGAGGTCTATAAATGCTCGTTCGTTTTTACTGTAGTTATGCCTCTCTGGGTATAAACCCAACAGAAAAAGCTTTGGATCCAGAAAGATTTGTTTTGGAATTATTTTCTCGATTCAGTTTCTTACCTCTTCCCAAAACGTTTTAATCTTTGTGCATTGCCAAATACAATGAAACAGTGTCCCCCGATGTTCCATACATTTTGTGCATATGTCTGGTATGTTACTGCTGCATCGATTTAATTCCACCGCCGTCATGTATGTCCGCATTAGCCATTTATATTGTATTAGTTTTAGGCGTGTATTAATGGATTTAGACTGTGCATCAGCACAGGCTAGTTCAACATCTTCATCTGAGATTTCTTCCTGCAAGTCCTCCTTCCAGGCTGATAACTTAGATTGTGAGCTTTCAGATGAACTAGAGGTCAGCAGATTAAAAAAATCTGATATCATACCCTTCCTCAAACTGTCCTTTGTCATCATTTCTTCCAGTGGGGATTGTTGAGGTCTGGTGAGTAAATTATTTTGATTCGCTCTGACAAAGCTTCTAAGTTGGAGGTAAATGAAGAAATGTTTTCCACTGAGCTTGAATTTGGAACTCAGTTCATCAAAGGACGTCATTATGTCTGAGCTTATCTTGTATAGATCCTGAATCTTTCTAAGTCCCACAGAGTGCCATAATTTAAAAGTTGCATCTTCTCCTCCTGGTTTAAACAACTGATTACCCCATATTGGACTGTATTGTGATATGGAGTGTTGTACTTTTAAGTATCTGTTTACATCATTCCATATCCTCATCATGTGCTTTACATTTAGATTTTTTCTTTGTTTCCGCAGTCGTTTTTCTGTGTCTGAATGTATATATAAGGGAAGAGGTAGTTTTAAATCAAAAGATTCCATTTCAGTCCAGTGGGGAGAGTCATTTTCTGAAAAATAGAACATCATAGACCTCAGCTGTGCCGCCCAGTAGCACCACATTAAGTTTGGACATTTTAAACCTCCTCGATCAAATGGTAAATACAGTAGAGATAAACGGAGTCGTGCCGTCTTACTGTTCCATATAAACTGTAAGAATCTTTTTGTCATTTTTGAAAACAGGTCCGGAGGTGGAGGCAGGGGAATGTTTTTTTTTTTCAAAATATGAATTCTCCCTGTTATAGAAATTGGTAGTAACATCCATTTATCTACTGACTCGTTAATTTCTGTCATTAGAGGTTCATAGTTAGTGCTGACAACATGCTCCAGCCCGGGCAGAACCTGTATCCCCAGATACTTGAATTGTTCTACAACATTAAATTGAATTG